GAGGACCCAAGACTAAGTTGGGCCCCAAGAGCTCCAGACAAGCACCCAGGGCTTCTGCGCTCTTACCTCCACCCCTGGCACTGTCCCATGGCAGTTTCTACCATGACAGAAACTGTGACACGTGACAGTCGAGAACTTGAAATACACCATCAGTGTGACTGACACCAACCTGTCAGCTTTAATAAGCACCTGGAGCCGGGGTGCCTGCCTTCTTGACAGCAGCGCGCCAGCAAACTCCACCCCAGGCCCCTCATTTTCAGAGTTGACCCAGACCTTACAAGGGGCCCTGCGTGTCCCAAGATCTAGTTCGCCTCCCTCTCCATCCACACACTCAGCGTTTCCCTGCCACACCCAGCGTCCCCCACACCGCACCCCCTTCCTTTGAAGGCCAAGCTTTCGTAGCAGTGGGGACGCCCCTCGGGCAACCATTGGTAACCCTGCGTGATGTTGCAAGGCTTCATGCTCTGTCTGTTTGTGCCCGCAGATATATTCATTCCAAAGAGAAGCCTTTCAAATGTCAGGAGTGCGGAAAAGGATTCTGCCAGTCCAGGACTCTCGCTGTCCACAAGACGCTACACTCACAGGTGAAGGAGCTCAAAACCTCCAAGATCAAGTGCTAAGTGGAGCCTCCGGTCACCAGGAGGACCCCGGGTCGGCCGCCCCCTCTGCGGAGGGACTGGAAGCCAGGCGCCTCCGGCGGGCCTCGGGAGGGCTCCGGCCCGTCCCGCCCGGGACAGTGTCCCCTGCGCCCCGGGCGCGCGCGGAGCTGCAGAGCCCCCGCCGGGGCCAAGCCCGCGGCCGCCGGGGCGGCTCCCCCAGGACGCGGCTGAGCTCTTGGCCAAAAGGCGGTTCTCACGTGGCGGAAGGAAATTGCATTAAAAAAAAAAAAAAAAAAAAAAAAAACAAAAACCCGAAAGCTCCGAGGAGCCGCCGCGGCGCCTCTCCCAGAAGTATTACTTTTTCTATTGTTATTTTATACGTTTTCTTTACTTTTTTCCTTTGACCATATAAGCTTGTAAGTCTGACTGCGGGCGAGAGGGGCGGGAAGGGGCTCTGCGCGCGCTCGCGGCTCCCACCCTCCCGCCTCGCGCTCCAGCCCCACCCCGGGAGCCTGCAAAAGTGTAATCCGTGTATCTGCTTCAGCCGCCGGCCCCGGGCCGCGCGCCCCGCCGCGCGCAGCCGGCCTCGCCCCCCGACTCCGCGACGGGGCGGGGGCCTCGGGCCCCGGGGCTGGCGGGGGCCGCTCTCTGGCCCCCCAGCTCCGCATTCCTGTCGCCGCCCACGGACGAGCCGCCGGCCGGGAGAGCAGGGCGTTGTATTGCGATTGGCACTTTATGCTGACCATCGGTAACGGACATTTATCACTGGAGTTTTTTTAAATATTAAATAAACGGTTATTTTACAGGCACTGCAGGGTGGGTGATTTCCGTCCCAAACGCAAGAAATGGGGCAGCTCCAGGGTTCTCTGCCCGCTCCTGCCCGGCCAGCTGTCCGGCCTCCGCCTTACTGGGGTGATACAGGGGGGAGACGGGTGGAAACACCCCCGTCCGCCGGCGTGGGCTACCGTGGATTCCACACTCTTTGTTTTCTTACGTTTTCCCTCCACTCTGGTCTCAGGATCCCACGCCGGCCACCCCCCCGTGTCCTCTGAGGATGTCGGGTTCCCGCAAACCCTGAGCCAGTGGCCGCGACCCCGGCCGCGAAAAGTCCCAACGTCTGGGGCGCTGGGGGTGCGCAGGGTCCGCCGCTGGAACGAAGTGGCACTCACCTACCTCCCCACCCCAAGCCTCGCCCAAGGCCTCCGGCTGCAGCTTTGGGGATGGGCGTGAAAGGGGGGCGGTTGGAAGCGCCTTCGGGAGCCTCAGACCTGTGCTGTCTTGTTCCCCGGGTCCCCCCACGCGGCTGCAAATGTAGTCACCGCAGCCTCCCCAAAGTCCCACCCTGACATCCTCCCTCTGTTCGGAGCCCCCAGACACCGTTCTCTGGCCGGGGCGGGTCTCCGGCTCCGAGCGGGGTCCCGCGCCCGCGAGGATCCCCGACAGTTTTAAAACCCTGCGTGGCATGGCGGGGGCGGGCGCCCTGGGAGGCCGAGGAATTGAGGGGGAGAAAGCTGAGTCCTCCCTGCACAAGCTGAACCTTTCCCGGGGCGTTTGGTTTCCCACAATGAGAGGCCTGGCCGCGGGGCTCCCCCGCCCGGGACGCGCGGAGTCTCCCCGCCGGGGCGCGCACGCGGCCGGGAGGCGCAGGCGGTGGCGCCGCGGCCCTTCCCCGGCGGGGCGCGGCCTCTCGGCCCGGGGTGCCCAGCGCCGCGGAGAGCGCGGGCCGAGTTTCCCTAAGGGGAGCCCTGAACTCCGGCGGAGCGCGAGCGGGTTCCGCGAGCCCAGGAAGCCCGCATGGGCCTCAGGAGTTAAAAACACCCCAAGTGTTCACGGCCTCAGCCTCAGCCCCCTTGGGAACGCCCTGCGGACCCGCGCGGGCGGGGTCCCGCCGTCCGGGCCGGGCTGTCGGTGTGGCCTTGGCCCCGCGGGCGCGGAGGAGCCTCGGCGCTCGGGGCTGCGCTCCCCCTGCTGGACGGGCCTCGCTTCCCGCCGCGTCCTGCGCGCCGGCTTCGGCGGCTCCCCGCCCGCCGCAACCCCAGTTCCTCAGCCCCTGGGAGACTGGGCTTAACCGCCCAAACCTCCCCGCCTGAGGCTCGCCGGGAACCGGCGGCAGCGCGCTGCGGGGCTGGCTGGCACGACTCCAAACCCTCCTCCACCCGGGCCCACCAGGGCGCACCCCGGAAAGAATGGCACCCAGATCCCTGGGAGCTGTGACCGCTGTGCAAGCTGGGAGAGTTACTCAGTGAGTTGGGGGGCCGTGGTTGTTCCAAGACGACAAGAGGACACACACACACACACACACACACACACACACACACACACACACACACTTTGGGAGTTTTGCGCACCCCTGAGGACCCGAAAGAGTCCCTCCTCGCTCCCTTTCCGTATTCGGTCTTTCCAAGGACTGGTGGCCGCTGTGCGCTCTCCCTGCACATTCCTCCACCTCCCCTTCCCCGGGACAGTGGGGCCCCCCAGTTAGGCCAGTCTCGGGGCTGTGGTAAGGGCTGTGAATTGGGAAGTTTGCAGGCGAGGCTTTTCCCTCCTGGCCCGCACACTTCTGGTGCCACGACTCCCCGCTCCCTCCTCATCCCCCATCCCTAGGCTCAGCATCTAAGAGACTTTCAATATCAAGCAAGCGTTCTTGGAAGATCGGATCCCAGCACGGATATGACAGGGCCAGGGAGTGGGGCAGGTGCTGCGCAGAGACCGCCGGGCACCTCCCGCCTCGGCCTTGCCTTGCTCTGGGGACTGGTCCTGTCACCCTGTGGCCCCAGAAGTCAGGGTCAGTGTCAGCGCCGCTGGTCTGTCCTGGCGACAGCGATGGCACTGATGTGCAAAAACTACATCTGCAAAAGGAGGGAAAGTCTGGGGTACCGGCCACCCGAACTCCACACGGGCTGCAATCTCAGGGTGCCCGGGCTGGGCACAGTTGCCCACCCGTGCTCAGTGTGGGCCACAAGGAAAGGCCATTGACAGGGTCAGACACCGGGTGGGTTTTCTTGCCTGCAGGCTCTGCAAGGGTCGACTTTTGCCCGCTAGATCCCTAGAAAATCCTGTTCTCTGCCCATCGTCCACCGCCTTGCCAGACATTAACCTTCTTGGGTCTCGGGCACCCAGGAGGTCGGGGCCGGTTTTCCTGAGCAGACGAGCTTGGCGCTGCCTGCCCAAGTTCGGCGGGAACCTTCCCAGGGTTTCTGGACCCTCAGTTCTTGCGCACGGGGGTGCTCACTCGTGCGGCTGGGGGCGACTCCCCTGGCACCCGGAGCTGCCCGGGGCAGACGCTGAGAGTCCCAGTAACCTCGGGGCAGCCGCGCCCGGGCAGCCCACACAGCCTGTGCCTGGGGGTAGAGGCGCAGGTTCCGCTTCCTTCAGCTGTGAAGCTCCAAGTCCCGGGCCCACAGATGGACGTTTGCCCGCGTACCTCTTACCCCGGGATTCGGGGTTCCCACAGGGGCTTGGGGGTGGGCGGCGGAGAGAACTGAAGTGGCATGATCTCGGGCTCCTTGACATCACCTCGGGTCCAAGAACGTGGGGTCCCTGACATACCAGCACCCCCCCATTCTTGGTGTCACGAGATTCCCCTGAAAGGCGCACCCCGCACTGCCCCCCAGGGCCCCGCGGCGCGTGACTTCGCGCCTCCCGCGGACACAGTGACGTCACAAGGCCTCTGGCCCAAGTGCCGGGGTGGGTGCCCTCAGCGTGGGCACTGCGTTTACGCGGTTCTCTGACGTTTGCAACGCACCCCGCGCTGCCGGGGGAATCCCGCCCCAGGGGCGCCCAGAGGCGGCTCCTCCCCGCGGGACCCGCGATCCGAGGCTCTGGCAGGTGCACTGGGTGCCGGAGGGTGCCCGGCAGCGGCCCCCTCAGGAATCTGGTGGCTTAGAATTGACTCGGCGGGCGCCGGCCAGCAAGATTCTGGGCCTCGGGCGCGGCGGACGCTCGCCCCGCCCGCCCGGCCCGCCCGGCCCGGCCCGGCCCGGCCCCGCCTCCCGCGCCCAACTCCCCACCCCGCCCGCCCGCCTCCCCGCCCGCTGCGCAGGCTCCGTGAGCCCAGGGCGCGCCCCTCCGCGCAGGGGCCGGGCCGCGGTCGTGTGGACCTCGCCTCCCCTTGGCGCGCCCCGCACTCGGGGATCCAGACACCCGCCCGCGGGCGCGCCCCGCCGTCGGCGCGCGAGCCCAGAGGTGCAGACGCGGCGCAGGGCGGCTGGGGGGACGCGGGGGGCCTGAGCCCCAGTGGCGTCTGGAGCCCCACGGACGTCGCTGGGATTCCGGGCGGCGCGGGCGGCGCGGCGGGTCCTGCCCTGCGGCACAAAGCTAGTGCGGGCCGGCCTTTCCAGGCGGGTCTCTGAGGTGGGGGCCCCGGGGGGACCCCCCAGCCGGGCGGCGCCCTTGGAGGCGCAGGTGGGCCCCCCACCGGCCCTGCCAGTCCCATCCGATTTCCCGGGCCGCCACTAGGTCCAGCTGATGGTTTGCAGTTTCCGACGAAGAATTTCCTAGGGCGGAGATACAAGGAGAGGCCAGACCTCTGGGGGCGGCGGAGGGAGACTCGGGCGCGGGGTTCCCTTAAAGGGCGGGGCAGAAGGGCCGACCCGGGCCCCCAGCAGAGGCCGGGCCAGTCCCGCCCTCACCCGAGCGTCTGGGCTTCCTTCCTTTCAAGGGGAGCGTGCGCTTCCCGCCCGCCTCGTTCAGGTGACGTGCAGGTCCCGGCCACAGGCATTTTCACTCCGTGATTCACTTCTTGAGCCCCAAAGGGCTCTAGCCTGTTGCAGACCAGCTTCGGCGTTTGTGGAGCTCCAGGTCAGAGCGTTATTTGAGAAGCTTCTCTCTGCATTTGGAAATATGGGCTCTCTGCCTCCGAGCTGCCTGATTCCTGGGAAAAGCTTTCCTATACCTTCCCTTTATCAGAGCCCAAGGATCAGAAATGGGATGGAAGGTTAGCACCGGGACGGGTGGTTTTTGTTTTGTTTTGTTTTGTTTTGTTTTTTGAAATCTCCCTGAAAACTGGAAAGAAGCTTTTTTTTTTAAAAACTCGGTGGAGACCAGTGGATTCCTCAGTTCACACATAACCATGTTTGGTTGAGAGGAGTCAGGTGACAAGATGTAAGTGCCTGCTCACCACTGCTTTGTGACACCTGCCTAGGAAGAAAACAAAGCTGGGGGCCAAGCGAGGGCCACAATGTGACCTGGCAAGTGTGGCTCAGCCCTCCTGGGGTCTCTCCTCTGTAAACACCCCTCTGCAGAGCCAAAGAGCCGCTGCTACAATCTCACGTGGCTCTGAGCTTCCTTGGACCCGTGTGAGGGCATCCTAGCCTGAAGGAACGCTTGCCAAACAATGTCATCACACAGACCCATCTGCAGAATGGCCCTGTCACCCAGCCACCCACGAAGTCCCCTGATCTGCTGCCTCTCTTGGCTGTTTTTCCTGGTCAGTGCCTGCCCCAGTTCAGTGATGAGAGTGGAGCAGGATTGGCTCAGAATAGGAAGGGGAAGGATGAATCGGTGGAGAACTTTCTCTTTTCCAAACACAGAACTGGCTAGCAGCTTGGCTGTCTCTGGGGAAGTATAAAGCTGATTTAATTTTTTTCAGTGTTTGGCTTGATTGAACTCTTTTGCTAGGGAGATAAGATAAAGAGTTTAAGGAGTTTGTTGTGACATAGTCAGGGATGGATTGCTTTCCATCCTTTTCAGAAGGGGGTGCCCCCTGGAACCTGTAGGTAGATGGTGACATGAGATGAGAAACTTTACACGTGGGAAAGGTTGATGAAATGGGGCAGGAATGGCTAGATTTGATTTTATTTTTTTTTTACCTCTCAAAAGAGCAGAGAGGAAAACGAGATTCCAGAGAATTTGAGTATTGCCTTAGATGATGAGATTTTCTTGAAAGGTTGGCTTACTTTACTTTTTAACCCAGGTGAAGAGCTGAGCATCTTTGGGCAATCTCACAGTTGACATAGGTATTCAGGTTTGCAGGGGGCCAAGAACCAGAGCAGGTGTGGTGCTATAGCTATTATGAGCAGGTGTGGTGCTGTAGCTATTTCGAGCAGGTGTGGTGCTGTAGCTATTCCCTCCAAGGACAAGGAGGGATCACCAACACTGAAATATTTGATCAGAGACACCCTGAGTGGGTGGGGCAGTTAGAAGTTTTCTCCTAAATTCTTAGAGGAATTCCTCTAAATTCTTAGAGGAATCTATGTATCATTAGATTCATTTTTTTATTATAAGGTTCATATAAACCTTATGAGAAACTGCTGTTTCTTATGAGAAACTGCTGTCATTTGAATTGTTTTCCTCTATATGTAAGGTGCCACTTTTATTTCTTTCAAGATATTTTCTTTGTCTTTATTCTTTAATTTACAGAGGTTTGATTATGATGGTTCCTGGTATGATTTCTTTCTATGGATTTTTGGGCATTTGCTTAGATTTTTAAATCTATAGGTCTATGGCTTTTCCCATAATTGAAGAAATTTCGGTCATCATTTTTTTTCATATTGGAAAATATTAATCACTCCAAATACTTTTTTCATTTCCACTTTTTCATCCCCATTGTCACATATATTACAACTCTGTTATAACTCCACAGTTGCTTTTTAGGTTCTGTTCTGTTTTTTAGGTTGTTTTTAGGTTCTGTTACTTTTTTCCAGTCTTGTTTTCTTTCTGTTGTTTAGATGAGGTAATTTCTATTGTTCTAGCTGCCATTTCACTGTTTCTTTCCTTTGTCTCCTCCATTCTGCTATTGGGGTATTTTTTTTAAAAAAATTAATGATAAAATATCCTAAAATTTCCATTTTTTTAAGAAAAATTATATAAATATATAAATATATATATATAGTCTATTTCTTTGCTGAGACTTTCTGTTTTATAGTTATTTCAAGAATTCTTAATTGCTCATTATAGCATTTTTATAGGCCTGCTTTAAAATTTTGTTGATAATTCTAATATGAGTGTCTTCTTTTTTTAAAAGATATATTTATTTATGCATGCAAGAACTGGGGTGCAGGACAGAGGTGTGTGGGGGGGTGAAAGGATTCACCAGAGACAGAGTGAGGAACAGAATAGTCAGATCTACCTAAATACACTGCTAAGGGGAGCAGTGGGCAAGACAGGAGAGGTCTGCTGCACCAGGTGGGTCAGCTCCCTTGCCAGCTGGGGATTGAACTCATGCTGCAGTGGCTGCAGATAGTTTCATAGTGCTACAACTTAACCCCTTGTACCACCAGGGAGGCCCACTGACCTGTTCTGAGCATGGATATCACACATCCTGAGATGAGTTCTTATTTTTTCCAGATAACTGTGTCTACACCACAACATTTACTTTAGTAAATCTGGACAGACTTAATTAGATGAACTTGACCAAAGGAAATGGGAGGCAGGAGACCTTAGTCTCAGCAAGAGTGTCTCTACTGAACTTTGATTGGTCACCTTATCAGATTCAATAGCATCTCAGAGGCCTTAATTTCCTTACCTGTCAAGGAGAACAGAAATACTTATCTTTTCTAACATCTACAGTTTTGTCAGAGAAAATTTAAATCTGTACCTTATATAATTGCTGTAGACCATCTACCTCTTTTTTTAAAATTTATTTATTTTTATACAAGAACTGGGGTATAGGTCAGAGGCACAAGAGGGTGAGAAGATTCACCAGAGACAGAGCGGGGAGCAGAACAGGCAGACAGACCGAAGGCACTGATGAGGGGAGCAGCGGGTGATATAAGAGAGGTCTGCTGTGCCATGTGGGAATCTCCCTGGCCGGCCGGGAATTGAACCTGCGCTGCAGAGGCTGCGGACAGCTTCACAGTGCTGCCCTCAACCCATTGTGGCACTGGGGAGGCCCTCCCTCTTTTTATTTAATCTTAAAACTCATCTGCCAGTACTCCCAGCTCTTTAGCTGCTATTGTTTTCAAAAATGTCTTAAAGAGAATCAAAAAACTGCTTGAGATAGCCATAATGATTTTTTTGGACTTTATTTAGAGGGTTGGCTAGGTCCATTTTTGCAACGAGTGAGAACCAAATTTAGTTGTCTTTCCTGGATATTCTTATTCTTAGCTGGGGGGCTAAGTATTGTCACCCATGCAAATTCAGGCAGAAGCCTTGCACGTGGTTTCCAGAACTGTGCAGCAGACATACATGGCCTGAAATAGCTCTAATTAGAAAACGACCTCACATTTAGGAAATACGCTGGAGCATGTGGATATCCTGACTTGTCCCAGAAGCACAATAAAAGTAAACCAACTGCTCTCAAAGTAAGAACAATTATAAAAACACAAATTTTGAAATAATGAACACAAAGATTTGAATCGTAAATATTTATATCCAGAGAAACAAGGCAAACTCATTTCAAAGTTCAGATGAAGAGGGCTCCATGGCTGTCAGACCACACCGATGCCGGTACTGAGTTCAGGGGGGCCTCGCCACTAAGGCCACGTCCGGAGGCAAGGAGGCCTGTGGCCACTCCCGTGGCAGGCAGGACCTCTCCCCTCACTTTGTGACGGGTTCTGCAGTGTGGCAAGGAGGTAACAAAGAATTTCTGCAGATTTTATCTTCTCTTCATAACCGTCTAAATCTGAAATTAGGGAGTGAGCCAAGAACTTGGAGTCACCTGCCTTCAGCTGTCAGTCGGTGGCCAAGCACACCTTGGACTGGCGGGAAACAGGTAAAGCAGTGTCGCCAGTTTTCTCTCTGTGTCCAGTGATGGTTTGCAGCCCTGCCATCACATCACTCTCCACAGCCCGGGGGGTACTGGCCGAGGACACGGCCTCTCGGGCAAGCCACGTAAAATCCACTTTCTCGTTTTTTGATTTCACTGCTTTCTCACAGCCTCAGCCTGCTTGTCTGAAACCAGATTTTATGAGGTGCTCAGAGAGCCCCCATAGAAGAGTGCATCGGGGAAGATGGGCACAGGCAGCTTTGGGCTGCGTGTGGCCTGTGGGTGGGGGAAGGGTGCTTCCTGGGGCTTGAGGGCCTGCCTGGAGGTCAGACAGAAGCCTCCTTACCTGGGAGCTCTGTTGGCAGGATGCCCGCAGAGAGAGACACCTCTGAGAAGATGCCTCTAAGAGCAAACCCTCACCAGCGCCCCTTACCTACGCCCAGGAGACTCACCCACTCCGGAGAATTCTCTGTCCTTCGTGAGGGGTGAGCTGAGGGAGGACACACTCTGCACAGTGCCTGTTGGTTGAGTCCTGACCGAACACAAAACACTGGATGGTCCCGACTTGATTGGTTCATCCTAACAATTTTTTGACTTAACGGTGATGCAGGGGTGCTACGCACTCACTAGAAATTGTACTTCAAACTTTGAATTTTGGTCTTTTCCTAGGTTTGCAATATGTGGAAGAATTTCCCCTGTGAGGCTGGGCAGCCGCAAGGAGCTCAGGGCTCTCTGATCTCAAGGGCATGTGAGCACCCTCTACAGACTGGTTTTCCTTTCAGTCCGGTATTCAGCAAACAACACCACGAGGTGTCCAGCCCGCTGTTCTAAGCTGGCCTTTGTGTTGGCTGTTACGGTTTTGCACGACTGTAGGCAAAGGTAAGTATTCTGAGCACTATAAGGTGGGCTGGGGGGCTTTGATGGTTAGGCTGGGTGTATGAAATGCATTTTCTATTTATTAAAATATATTTTCAACTTAGGATATTTTCAGCTTCATGAGGTGTTTTCCCAGGAGATCCCCAAGGGAAGCAAAGGCAGTCTGCGCCCAGAGTGGACATGCATGGATGCTATTCTTCTCATCGTTGAGGTGAGGAAACAGAGGTACAGAATGAATCACCGGCACAAGGTGACAAAGCAGGTATCCAACCAGCTTTCAGATCCAGATACTTACCCTGTGGAGTCCACACCCTCCCAGGCTCCCTTGTGTCCCTGTAACTGAGATTCAGATCGTGGAGACTCTGGTCCACGCTGCCCAGCCAGCTGAGGAGTGCTGGGCTTTACCCCTCCTGGAGGGGGCCCGGGTGGGGAAGATGAGCTAAGAGGCCTCGAAAGCATTGGCCCTCCCCTGAGCTGAGTGTCCCCTGTGCTGTGTGCTGACCCAGGAACGCAGTCCCAGCTTTGCCGGCTTCCTGCTCCTGCTTCCTGAATCAGGAGTCTGGTTCAGGCTGGAGCCCCTTGTGGGCAGGCGCGTGGCCCACCCCACCTGCACGTGGCTCTCGGGTTTTCCTCAGCAGGGCATGGGTGCAGTTGTCTGAGGGTCAGCGTGGGCCCTTAGATGTCGCACTGCCTTCTCGCCCAGCTTACCGTGAGCCGCGAGCCTGAATTATGTTGGGGCGCCTGAGTGGGGCATGTCAAGGGCTGGCAGACAGTGAGTGGTGGGTGAAGCCTCTGATGGGTCTCTGGGTGCTGCCCTGGTGAGACATGGCAAAGCCTTTCCAGGCCCTTTGGGATTCATGTTGCTGTTGACGCGAAAACCACGTGTGTGGCTAAAACAGAGCAGAGAAGGCAGGTTGCTTGGGTCCTGCGGGCCAGTTCTGCCGACCTGGGGTCTTTGCACCTGAGAAGCTGGAAACCGAACAGCCTTGACCCAGCTGCAGAAGTGAGGAAAACTTCATGGGAAGTGGGGGAAAGAGGGTGACGATGGACTTTCTGGAAGTCTCCTTCGAGCCTCCGGGCTGGGAACGAGACCTGTGAGCTGGAGTCCAAGAGCCACTTGCTGTTCCTGAGCCCCGCGAGGGCGCTGCGGGAAGGGGCTTTTCACGTCAGGGCGGGCAGCCTCACTCGGAACTAACCCTGTGCTGCTTTTATAAATGACTACAGTCCGCTAGCACGGAGGCTGCGCCTTTGCCTTCCATTTTTTCTTGTATTTAAAATGAAACCCCTGAAAACTGAGGAGGCACCTAAAGCATCGTGCCGACTTAGTGAAGGTGGGGCTGGGGTGGCCTTTCATGGAGGTCACCCACACCCTAGCGGGGGGCGGTAAGGGGTGACATCCCAGGTCAGGCGTCCAGAACCTTTTCTAGTTCTCCAAGCTCACAGAGCCTCTGAGGGGGAGGGGAGCTCTGCTGTGAAAGGACAGCCCTGCAGCCCCGTGTGCCGTGACACCCCTTCAGCTTGCCTTGTTTCCCTTCTCCTGGATGGGAGCAGCGGAGGCAGCACTCATGCTCCGGCTTGGGGAATGTCTCCCTCCCGGACTCTGTGCCAGCGGGTCTGTTCCGAGGACGGGCCTCTGCCCAGTGCCTCGGTGGTATGCACCTAACTGCAAGGCTGGTCCGAATGCCAGGAGAGCAGCTGGTGTGTCTCCCCAGTGTCCGCTCAGTAATCCCTTGTCACGGCCACCTCCGAGGCTCTCTGCTCTGACAGAGGGGCTGTGCTGGCGGCCTGTCACATAGATTGCGAGGGCATCAGCAGGATTAGCAGGGAGGCCGATAGCACGGCCTTCTCAGCAGTTCATTCAGGCATCTGCGGCTGGGCCGGTGCTGGCTTCAGGATTGATGTCACATGGGGGCTGACCCTGAAGTGGGCAGAGGGACAAGGGTCCCTTAGTGTCGGGCCCGTGTTTAGGCGTGTCTGTTCCACAGCAGAGCTTGTTTAGGAATTTGTGCAGAGACTCTAAGCGTCCTTTTCCATTTTATTAGTTAACGAGCTGAAATACATCAGCAGCTCCTCAAAACCAAACGTTTTGTTCTTGGCAGTTGTTAAAATATTGCTGGTTTTATTTCTGTTTGTGGAAGTAATGGACCCTCCTTTGGGAAAAATTGGATCAGAAAAGTATAAAGGGGAATTGAAAATTATACAATCCTCCTATCAGATATTACCTGGGATGCCGTTCTCATATGTTTTCATGCTGTCTTCTAAGTATGTATTAAAACTGATTATTTTGTATATTTGACTTTGTTCCCTTGTAAAATAACTGCATATTATCTCATAGGCTTTTATCAATTTTTTTGCACTTTTATCTGGAACACCTACGAGGTATTTCTATTAGTTTCCTACTGATGTGGAGCAAATGGCCACAAACTCAACACCTTAAACAGCATCCAATTATTAGCTCCTGGTTCCGTAGGTCAGAGGCCTGGCTTGGCTGTGTCTCTGCTCTGGACTCCCAAGGCTGAAATCAAAGAATCAGCTGGGCAAGGTTCTGTGGAGGGTGTGAGGACGGCGGCCAAGCTGGCTCTTGGTGGCAGAGGTCAGTGCTTGGAGAGATGGTAGGACGGAGGCCCTCACATCTTTGTTGGCTATTAGCTGGGAACTGCTCTGGGCACCCTCAGCCGCTGGACCACTGCCTTCTCTGACACACGGCCCGTTGCCCTGCAAACAAGAGTGCACGGAATCTTTCTGCTGCTCCTTCCTGCTGCCTTGGGTAGCTTCTTGACGTGCACGAAGATGTGAGGGGGGTCTCTCTGGCACTGTGAGAACACCCTGTCTCAGTCTCTCCCTATTTGCTCCCTGGGATTCCAGCTCCATCCTTCAACTCATGGGGGCACTGGTCTCTGTCTGGACCCTCCCTCCCTGTTCTGTGGCCTGCAGACTCTCTCAAGGCAAATAGTGGGGCTCACCTCACCGGCCTTTGTTGCCTGGTGTTCTATGTCCCCAATTGTTGCTTCATATGTTTTCTCTGGTTTTTCAGTTGTTTCAGGCAGATGGTTAAAACATGGTCCCTCTTACTCTTTATTGGCTGGAAAAAAATCATTTCTGTATTTTTGATTAATTAAATGCATCATTTTCAGCATTAATTATAAAGTAGAAATGTTTTCTTCTGCTCTAAATGGTCCCAGGAGGTAGAGATTTCTAGATATATAATTAAACAAAACTTTTTTTTTATTTGAGGAGTTCTCTTGTAAGGGCTTCCATCTTATTTTATTTTCCACAATGTGTTGATGAAGGTAAAGTAGGTTTTCACGTTCGCATCTGCTCTGGAGGATGTGGGTTTAAACCCTGAGATTTTTCAGATGTTGCTTGTGATTGTCTGTCTTTCCCAGGGCTGCTGAGCCATGTGGATTAGCTCCCTGGCTGGGGATTGAACTTCAGGCTGTAGTGGTGATCGTGCTGAGCCTTAACCCTTAGGCCTCCAGAGAGGTCCAAGTTTGAATGTTATTATATAACACCAACCCACTAAAAAGTAGGTTTTACTATTCTCATTTTACAGGTGAGGAAATTGGGGCTAAGAAAGGTAAAATGACTTGTCTAACATCAGTTAATAAGCAGTAGAACTGGGACCAAGACTCAGGTGTGTGTCCTTTCCAGTCTTAAGCATTGATCCTGACACCACGCTACCAAGTTAACCAGGGAATGTCAACGTGAGCATAGCACGGAATGTGGGAAGTTTACTGCACTCAACACTTACCCTTGGGAACTTGGGCAACTCAGGTGAATCTTCCTTGGCTTCATTCATTCATTTATTGACTGAATGACTCTTTTATTAACATACAATTCCTTCTCCCTCCTCAGTTTTATTGAGAGATAATTGACATATACCATTGGGTGAGTTTAAGGTGTCAGTGTGATAACTCGATACATGCATCTATTGCAATATGATTGCAGTGTTGGGATGACTTTCTGCATGTGCTCACTTTCTATTCCTACTATAGCATGTATGTCCAGGGAGTCAGCCATAGCTGTGTGTGTGAGTCTAAGAGGTACCTGTGGATCAGTTTGGAGGATCCGTAAGTGAGGTGTTCCCAGTGGCCCATGGGGAGTTTTCTGATGGAGTCTATAGTGGTTAGTAGAATCCATATCATTTTGATGCCTTCCAGGAGCCCTGAGGATGGTTTTCCCCAGCTATTCCCTTCTGTATTCTGGGTGGGGTGAGAAAGATGTGATCTCACTGGTTTACCCTGCATAGCTGGGGAAGTTGGGTGACCACTCCCATGTTTTACTTCCTCTCAGGAGAAATCCCAAGGTATGAAGTCTCTTCACTATGCTGTGCTGCCTTAGGAAGGTGTGATGTGGGTAAAGCACAACTGTTCCTCTTTCTCTCTTTAATGTGTCCAATCTTGGATTTTTTTCCTCGAACACTGTACTGCGAATTCTGCAGTAGGCTTCCAGATGTCCACAAATCCTCTCTAGTTTGTTGGTGATTGTCTAAGTCATCATTATTTGGGAGGAAGACAATAGAGACCTTTTATTCTGCCATGTTGATAATATCACTCTTCAACAATTGTTTCTTGAGAGTTTATAGGACAGATTCTGGGGCAACATAAAATAACTTCTTCCTGGAATTTATCTTTTAGAATTGCATCAATCTTGTTCTTTGTAAAGTACATGCCTAATTAAGTTGTGAAGAATAAATAAAATCATTCATGCAATGAGCTTAACCCAGAGCCAGGCACATCATGATTTTCAGTAAGCGTTAGCTATACTTATAGAAATCACACACCGTGGTGAGTGAGTCTGATTATTGACTCTTTTGGAACCGCGCTGCTTTGGCATGAGTTGTGGGTGCTGAATAATCTGCAGAGGAGGATGGTAGAAGTCCAGAGCCCTGGTAGAGCACCTTTGGGATTGAGGCAAAAATGGAATATGGTGGTGTCATGAGGACACTGGTAAGGCCTCCCCAAGAGCAAGGTCTAGAGGACAGGTACCAAATTCATCTATGGGCTCAATATGTGCTTGTCTTCTTTGATTGCCTTTTAGCTGTGGCCAAAGGGGAAGTCTACATTGCTAAGCAAAGATTCAGTGAGCACCAAATGCAATGTAACACGAGTTCTGTTGCATGGAGTGTATTGTTGTTTTTAAATTTTGGCGTGCCCAAATGGCCCACTGTATTAGATTCCTGTCTTAAGTTCCTACACCTCAATATGTGTT